ACACACACACACACACACACATTCCAGCACGACCAGAGAAACATCTGCCACCAACAGACTCTTTCTTTCAGAGCAAGCTTTCCTCCTGGAAGTCTATAAAACAGAAAGAGAGGGAAGAGACTGACTAACCAGTGAAAAGACACAATTTGAAAAACTAAAAATTCAGCATATTCAATTAAACAACACAAATTACTTTGGGAATATTTTAGGGTGTTGCAGAACAAGTACCTGTGTCTCCTTTCTGATATATTTCAACCTATCTGCACAATAAAAAAAACAGTTTAATTAAATGAACCAGTTAATTAAACTGGTTCTACCATATCTTTCCACTAGAGGCTGTTAAACCCAAGACTGACAGAAAAAAGGATTTACTTTTCTCCACTGTGACCGACTGGAATTCCACTGAACAGCAGATTTGAAGCCACAGTCTCCTGGAGGTCAACGAGGCTCATTATCTTTTGGGAACTCTCTGGCGGCTCAGGAGTATTTTTGCTGGAGCTGACCTCTGACATCGGTCAGATGTTCACCTGTTTCCTGCCTTAACCAGAAAAGGTCCAGCTAACAATTAACTACATAATATCAGGAGTTTAGACCCATAGAAGCTCAACCATGAGCCCCAGTCCAAAGAAAGACATGGAATCCTATTTACAAAATGTGCAGCATCTGTGGACACGTTCAAAAAGCAGCCATGATGTCTTCAAGCTTGTTTTTTTTGTTATTGATGTTTGCAAATTCCTTATCTGATTATTTTACTGTTTTATTTGAACAATTAAACCTTTGTAAAGCACTTTGTGTTAATTATAATAATAATAATAATAGAGACAAAGGAACAATAATAGCCTGGGACTCCAAGTTAATTCTGAAAAAAGTATGTTTTTAGCCGAGACTCAAGTGCAGCAGGTACCTGCTCTGTGAAATAAATAAACTTCCCCCACCAATGGCTCTAAAAACAAAAATTATTTCTATGAACATGTTTTAATACCGAGTTTGTTTCTGGATCTAATTATCACATCACAACTAAAGGACGCAGAACTTTGCGTCTGAGATCTTTGTCTGTTTTCAGAATCCGTCTCACTGGTTCATCTCAGTGCACTGCAGGCTATGATGTCACAAAAACAAAAGAAGCAAACTGTGAACATCACGATGTGGATCTGTCTGTAGTGACCTTGATATCTCCAACATGGTGAGACAGCCTGTGCTTGTAAACGCAGAATGCACTGTGATGGAGTAAATTCTGTATATATCATGTATACCATGCTTTCTCTTTGGCTGACGGGACGTTTCATTTTTACCCCTTATTTACTGCATTTCTCTTTCATTCTCATACAACATTTTGAATGTATTGAAATACTTATTCCCTCGGCATTGAATTATCAATTACGTCTGAGTTATCTCAACTGACAGAGGCTCCTTTTCTTAATTACCACATGGATGTAATGCCCACAAGCAAGTGTTTGCAGCTGCCACCGGCACCAAACAAGCCAAATCTGCATACACCAACACAAACACACAAACGAGAGAGGGAGAGCACACACAGCTCGGTCTCCATCAGGCAGCACTGGCACGGTGCCCTGAGACGTCGGCACACATCACGGGCACAAAGGAGGGAAGGAAACCCGGACGGAAGAAAGACAAAACAAAAAAGAAAATTAAAAGAAAGGGGCTAAAATGAGCACGCGAGATGACACAAAGTGCAGCGGATTGTAGGACGACCGAGAAATAAAGAAGGCAGAAAGATAAATCTGACGTACCTCGTTTCAGATCCACACCACACAGGGAGAGCAGGAGGGATGTTGCTCTTGATTGCTACAGGGTCCACTTGTCTGTCTGTCCTGCTGCCTGCCTGGATCTTGGTCTGTGTGTCTGTCTCTCTGTCTGTGTGTCTGTCTCTCTGTCTGCCTGTCTCACATTTTACAATGTGCCTTTCTCTTTGTCTTTCATATCTTAATCTGCACTTTACTTCATCGTAATTCATTTATCTGACAGTCTGTATTGGTCTGTGTCTGTCTGGCTGTTTGTTCCTGACATTTTCTACCATATACAGATATACAGTAGTCTGTCTGTCCGTTCGTCTGTCTGTCTGTCTGTCTGTCTGTTGCAGCATTCTCCATTTACAGACAGACACACAAATACTGAAGCATGTGGCCAGACCAAAATTCTAGATACGACAGTGGCAAAGCAGTCTGAAGCTTTAGAGCAAACAAAAAGTGCAGAGGACACACAGACTGTAGGCAGCAGGGGCGCGGCGGGATGCTGGGTAGCCCATGAAGTTAATCGGCCATTTTGGAGGACATGCAGAAGTGCACACCAAACCAACAGGAGGTGGTACCTCCTCTGATTTAAACACCAGAAATGCCCGACTGTCCAAACGCTACACTGCCCATGCACCCCTCCATCAAAGGTCTGGACGCAAGCAGAAGTCGGGCAAACCTGCGCACCCGCCAGATTTCCTCTGTTCAATCCCAGCATGCCTTGGCACGGCATCGGGCGATTGCAGTCACATCGACAAAACACAGAGGAGAGACAGACAGAGAGACAGAGAGGCTGGATCTCTGCCATGTCGTCCTTGTAGCGAGTTAATGAAGCAAGAAAAGCTTGGATGCACTTCAAGCATCAACTTATACACACACAGACACATTGAACACGGCTTTCATATTTATTCGAACATGTTCGCACCTCCCACACAAACAAAAAGTTGAACAGCAACCAACCTGCCTGAAAACAGACTGAGTGAAAACGTCTTTGTTTGGAGGTTCTGACGTTTTACGGCTTTTGGAAGTAAAGGAATAAAAAACCAACAAACATATATTTGTAAAGCGTGGACGTCCTTACCTGGCAGACAGGTGATGAGTGGAGGGGAGATGTTTCAGTGTCTGGCAGACAGTGAGAGATTTCGGGGGGGAGGCTGGTTGGCTGAGAAGTGAACATGGTGTCTGAAAACCAGGCTGGACGGAGAGAAAATGGAGATCGGATCAGAACGGGGAGGAACAGAGACACAGAAGAGCAGACGGTGGTAAATAGCCGGATCCTGTTGGGAGTGTTCGTCTCATTCTTCATCTGTGATAATACAAAACAAAATAATAGTGATGACATGAATGGTATCTCAAAAATAAAAAAAGTTATGGTCGTCTCCACAGTGGCGTTCAAAGTATTTGTGTGTTTGATAAAGTTCCAGTTTAATTTGATTTCACAATATCAAGTGATTATTCAGAGGAAGAAATGCAAAAAAACATGTTCGTACATATGTAGGCCACATACTCACCTCCACCAGAAACTGCTCAACTAGTTTTTCGAATATATTCCTTGATTTCATGGCTCTAGGTGAAAAAAAATCAGACGTTTTTAGAGGACTGATATTTATGAGTGTGTGTGATTTGGTGCAGATGAAAATAAAGTCAGGATATTGTGAATTTAAATGTGGTTTCATAAGGAAACTGAATAACTTGAGTTATGTGCACAGTGACATTCTAGTCTGATATGAAATTACATCAGTGAATAACTTTTATTTGTAAATAAAAACAGTCTTAAGTCCGACTCACAGTTTGTTCTTGTCTCTGTTGTTATTCATTTAAAGCTGACCCCTGCATGTGCATAGCTCCCTTTTTTCCCGGGCGCTCAAAGTCCCTTGAAACACTCATACGAGACTGTGTGGGATTCCTCCCACACACCAAAGACACCAAGGTCAGGTCAACTGGACATTGTCCCCGATCAATCGGCCTGAAATTTTAGAAATAGTTGATAAATAAAAAATATTTCAAAGTAAAAGTTTCCTGTGCTCAGCAGCTGGTCGGTCGAGGAAAAGTACAGATGGTTTTATCTGTCACACAAATACAGCTGTCAGAGATAAAAGCAGTGGTTTCAGAGTTCTGAGTCACTTTACTGGTCAGACACTAAATCTTACATCGTCTTTATAGCATTCTTAATCCATTTATAAGGAATATAGGGAAAATCATCGAAACAGAAACAGGACACAATGTTTTATAGATGATTTTTTTTATTTCCTTCAAAACAGAAAAAACTAAACTCTCCTCTGGTAAATTATGATTTGATCCAGCAGTTATTTTTAAACATTTACAAAATGAAAAGGAAAACAAAATACAGCACAGATGTTCAAATCATAAATATTCACAGTATCTCCGTGAAATTCATCACAAACTCTTTCAATAATCCTCTTTAAGTGCACTTCCATGCTCCTGCGTGAGGCAAATCAAATGACTGATTGACCTTTTTCAAGTAAAGTAAGATTTTCCTGTAACGTTGCAGGTTCAGTAGATATGAACCATAGCTGCAGGAAGTCCTGAGCAAAGCTGTGAAAATTCCTTCAACTTAAAATAATTCAAGCGGTCAAAGGTTCAACTTTTGCTTTCATTCACATTCATTTTTTTAATAATTGATATAAAGTGCTTTTCCTTTACAAATGGTTTCATTTCATCTTAGTTGGTGCATTTTAAACTTAAAAAAAAAAAAAAAAATTAAACCAGGCACTTTTTGCACAGAGAAAGGAAAAACCTAATTCAAGATAATTTCATTTTCCTCCGTGACGATAGAGCTGAGCAGCGCTCGTCGTGGTCGTCATCCTCTCTCCGCTTGTCGTCTCCCTGTCATCCCCCTCTCCTCCACCCTCCTCCTCCCTCCCATCTTTGCTTCTCCTCAACTTCTTCTTGTGCTCCCAGTCCTCCAGCGGCTCCGGGCCAGCTTGGCTCGTCTCCATTTTCTGTTCCTTCCGTTTCTTCTTCCTCTTCCTCCGGTCATCCTTGCTGCCGTCCTGGCTCGCTGATGAGCTGCTGCTGGGCCTCTCTCCCTCCTCCAGCTCTTCCCACTTGATCCCCGCGGACAATTTGTCGTCCTCGTAGCTCCACAGAGTCCCTCTTTCTGCCTCGGCCTCTCTCTCCATTTTGTTCCTCGTCCATTCCTTCTCATCCTTGATCTCATTTCTACTTCTGTCCTGCTTTAACTTCAGACCAGGGATGCTCATTCTGGGCTGACTGGGCTTTGGGCTGGAGGACTTCGAGGGGAATAGGACGGAGGGAAACTCGGAGGAATGATGGGTCCCTGCAGGTCTGTCTTGGTGTCTGCTCCCTGATGAATCTCTGTGACTTTGGTAGTTTTTGTCTTTACGTTTTGGGTCCAGTGACGTGTCCCTTTGAGTTTTGTGTGCATGTTTATCAGGCATTTCCGCAGCTCTTCTTTCCCTGCTTCCACTGCAGGAGTGTTTCCCACCAGGATGTGAGGAGGCGGAGCTCTTCTTGTGGTCGCCTCCTTGCTGACGCTCCCTCTTCTCCATGTCCTGTGACATTGAATGCTGGGAGAAATGACTGGAGGAAGGGAGATTCTTCTGTTGGACTGAGGCAGAGCTGCTGTGCCCCCTCTCTCTCCCTCTGTCTCTCCCTCTTTCTTCCTCCCTTGTCCTCTCTTTAGATCTTTTGGTCTCTTTCTGTCTATCCCTCCCTCTCTCTCTTTCCCTCCCCTGCTCCATCTCCATCCCTCTTTCCCTCTCTCTGTCTGCACACCAGGTGCCGTCACTCGTGTCTTTGCCAGCAGAGGGAGCCAGACTCCTGTCTAAGCTTCTCTCTTGCTCCTCGTCCTTTCCTTTCTCTCTGTCCCTGTCTTTCTTTGTGTCCACTGACCTCTGCCTCTTCTGTTCATTCTGTCCCTCTGTCTCCCTGTCGGTTGGTGTCACTTCATTCTCCACTTCCTCTCCAGACTCTTCCTTCTTCCATTTGGAGCCAGGGACCTGAGACAGACAGGTAAAATGTCACTGAGAGGGTTTTGCATGAATATCTACATCTTTTTGATTTATTACACAGAGCATTAAAGCAGCTACACTAGTCACACGGGTTAGGGTCAAACAAGAATCATGACATGATTCCCACAGCTCTTTGATCGCTCATGGACGTACCTGTATGAGTGCGAGCTGATCCTCCATCTCGACAGCTCTGTCCTGGATGAATTCCTCCAGAGTTTTAACCATTGTCAACTTCTCCTGACAGTCCCCACAACTGCTGCGTTAAAAACACACACACACACACACAGTCATTATCCCTTCATCTATAAGTGAGCAGTGAGATGAAGCTGCAGGATTTGACAGAATTAAAGCAGAAACATTCTGACCTGTCCTCATCCATCATGTTGGAGTTCGGTCTGTCATGGTGGCTGTCGTTGCTGCTCCTCTGTGATTTGAACTTCAACTCGCCTCCTTCTTCTTTCCTCATCTTCACTCCCTCCATCGGAGCCTCAGGCAGGTTTGCTCTGTTTTCCTCGCACCTGCCTTCTCCCTCTGTCCTCTCCTTCTCAGAATTTTGGACAAACTCTTCCATCTCTTCTTGCCATCGACTTTCTTTCCTTACTCTCTCTTCTTTCTCCTCTTTTCCAGTCATGCTCCTCCTCTCATCTCTTTCCTCCATCTGATTTGTACCTTCCTTCTCCTCCTTGGCTCCTCTGGGGGCACAATGCCACAAATCAATGTCCTCATCTTTCTTTTCTCTAACATTTTCTTCCTCTCCTGCGATGGTAACCCACATCCCTCTCTTGTCATTTCTGATGGTGTCTTTCTCCCATAACTGCCGTGGCTCTCCTTCGTCAGGTTTGATTTTTTCTTCCTTTTCTCTGCTCGGCTCTTTCTTTTCATTGACTTCAACTTCAGTGTCTCCTCTGTTTAACTTGTTCTCTACATCACCCGTCTTCTGCATCTCATCCTCGGATTGTCCTATGATGCTCTCCTGTTTTTCAGTTTTCTCCTCTTTCCTTTTCCCATCCAAGTTGATGTTGATGCTTATTTTCTTCTGAGGCTTTACCGTTATTCTTCCCTCCCAGATGTCTTTCTCTCGCAGAGGCCACGGCTTACTCTCTTTTTTCTGCTCAATGTTTTGCTTCCTTTTGTCAAACAGATTGGGGGATTCATCTTTGCAGGCTTCTTTTTTCTCTGGACTCTCTCCTTTTCTTTTTCTGTTCTTCTCTGAGCTTAAGTCAGGAGCTTTTCTGCCTCCAGGGTTTCTGTATCTGTCTGAATCCACCCTATCTGCCCCTTTGCTGGACTTTATTTTGTGCCGTCTCTCCACATCTTGCCTTGAGTCCGAATCTTTGCCTTTTCTCCGCTCTTTCTTTTCTTCTAAATCCCCTTTTCCTCTGCTTCTTACAAAACCCTTATCCAAAGATTTATCTGGCTTCAAAGTAGATTGAAAGGTTGCTTCATCCTTTACTAAGGGGCCATCTTTGCAGGCATGCGGTCCAGTGTCGTGCCCCCTCTCATCCTTTCTGTTGTCATCTGTTGAATCTGCAGCTGCAGGGGATGATGACTCCTCTTCTCTCCCTCCGTTGTGTTTTTGTGTCTTCCTTTGCTTATACTTTATGGGGCTGAGGCCCTCCACATCTCTAATGATCACCTGCTTGTCGTCCTTACTTATATCTTGCAGTTCCATCTCCTTACTGCCCTTTGTAAAAGTGATCGGCAGGTGGTCAACCTTCTGTTGTTGACATGCCTTCAGCTCAGCCCTGTCCTCGGATGGCGTGGAGCGACTATCGCTGGACGACTGAGAGGGAGGTGAGCGGATGTTGTTGGATGTATGAGACGGAGGGGAGCGACTGTCACTAGATGACTGAGATGCAGTGGAGTGGCTGTCACTTGAAGAATGAGACGGAGGGGAGCGGCTGTCACTGGATGACTGTGATGGAGGGGAGCGGCCGTGCGTCCTGGCAGTGTTTCTGTAGCGAGGGTCCAAGTTGGCATGTGAGTGATATTTGCTTCCTTCCCACTGAGGAGGAGGAGGAAGATTGATGAAGGGAAGAGGCAGCTGGTGGAAGGGGCCGACGTAGCTGCTGAAATATTTCTCACACCACTCTTTGTACTCTTTCTTCCACTGTAGGTAGCGCTCTGTTTCCAGCTCCAGACCGCTTCTTCGATTTGAATCATGAGCGTAGTGGGAGCTGGTCGAACTCGCCCCGGAGCCACCAGCTTCCCAACCTGAGCGTTCTCCTCGCCTCGCAGAACCGTAACTGCTCGAAGCAGACTTCTTGGTGTGGTGGCGGCTGTGCTGGCGGTTTTTCCGGTGCTCTGACGGTGACTTGGACCTGGGATTGTGACCAACATGAGGTGAAGATGACGAGGACGGTGTAGGGGAGCGTCTGTAACCATAACTGTACGAGGGGTTAGAGCGGGTGTGGAGATCTCTGTGTCGGGAGTAAGGTGAGCGAGGTCTGGAAAATAACCCCCCCCCCCCAATACGATTAGATTCAAATCATTGTAAAAAAAATATACAAAATGTTTTAAATTCTTTTCAAATAAAGTGAACAAAATACCTTGATCTGCCTTGGGATCGGGATCGTGAGCGGGATCTGGACTTGCTTGAAGAGTAGGAGCGAGAAGTTTTGGACTTAGACGACTTTGAATGAGAGCGAGAAGAGGAGTGGCTGTGGGTGGATCCTCTGTGAGGCGACCTGAGTGACGAAAGAAAGAGAATACACATGTAAAAAAATCTAATGTCAGTACGTTGTCCTCAGTTAATAAACTTCATATCACATCCCTGCTACATTCAAAGTAAATCCTGAGCTGAACTGGATTTCAGAGACCTACACTGGAATAATAATAATAAAAAAAACAACAATCACATAGTATAATATTAAAATTAGTAACTGATTTTAAATAGGTAACTTCTGATCATTTGTGACCTGCTTTGAGAGAGTTCAGTTGAAACCCTCAGTAATGTGATTTAAAACTTATTTTGTAGTTATTTTACATTTCATGACTTCACTAAATAAAAAAATTCACTATCTGCCACAATATTAAAACCAAATTGTTTCTTTTAAAACTAAAACTATATTTTTCGATTCAAATACACATAACAAATATTTTTTAATCAATTGCAACCAAAGTATAAACTGAGCCGATACAATGCATTTGATGGAAATAATATTTAATGTTGTTGATGTGGAATTAATGCAAACACACTGTTCCTTGAGATTTATTTAAAATGACTTTAACATTCCTTTTATCACCTGGAATTTAAACTATTTAAAAAGGAAGAACCAACGTCAAGCAAAGTCATCCTCCTTACAATTAAATACAGATACCCTTTCATGCATGTGACTGTTTTGTTGGTTGATTGTTCAGTATACCTTTCCTTCTCTCTCTGATGCCTGTACCACTCCTTGGGGACGAGGGCGGGGATAGAGGAGGTAGTGGAGCAGAGGGAAGGGAGTGGGGCACCCTGGGGGCACGGGAGTGTCCAGATGGGCGTCGTAGGTGGAGGGTACCCAGGAGGGTAACTGCTGTGAGACTGATGAGCCGAGAGGAACGTGTGAAAAAGGGGGGAGGGAAAGAGAGGTGGTGGAGGAGTCGCCGTATATGCAGAGGAGGGGGAGGACGTAGGCTGCTGGGATTCAGACCAGCCTCCAGTGGGACAACCTGACGAGGGAAAGGATCTGTGGGGAAGGTAGAGGGAGAATAGATCAATCCTGAGACAATGGGTAGAGTCACGTACACACCTAAACAAACAAACAGTTCACTAACCTGCCCCAGCAGGGTGGTGGTGCTGCTGGACCTTTAGAGGCAAAGAAAAATGGTTTTGTGTTGAGATGTTACTGCAGTTAAAGCACAATAATTCATCCATACTGTGTTTTTGAATTAAAAGGACAAAAATATATGAAATAATGAGCATAAGGGACAGGAAACAGAAACAAAGCCTCTAAATGAGTTTGGCAGGAGAAACTAAAGCAGCTTTAGTCACTCACCTAATGGGGACTGCTGTTGTTCCACACTGACTGTCTGAGGCAGCTCTGCCACAGCTGTGTGTTCAACCTGAGCAGACACAAACACCACAGGTTTCATACTGAGAGTCTTTTCTTCACAGGAATTATCAATCGATTTCTCAGAGTTTACGATGTATGACTCAGGATCGACGAGCTCTCTGTATCAAACCAGGAGACCTTTGATTACTGTTGTTTGTCCTCACCAATGTTTTCAGCTGTGATGGAGCAGCAGGATCTTTGTCTGACACCAGGACAGAAGGAGGCGCGGCGGCGGCAGCGGCAGCTGAGTCGTCCTGTGTCTCTCCTTCAGCCTCCCTGAATGAACAACAGATATATTATTAGCCATATTGGACTGCACCAAATGTTCTACCTCTGTGGGTATTTGTTTGTGGTTAATGAGCTGGTGCTTGGTCAAGAGGATCTATCTCTGACAGACATGCTGCTGAAGTCATTATCAGTTTAAGAAGATAACATTCTAGCAAACTTTGGCTTTTAGTTTCTTCTTTCCAGTGTTGTCAAACAGGTTTCTTCACTCATGATAAATACTTAAGATTATGATCTGTGTTCACGGAGCAGTGGATGGAGGGTGACTGGATCTAAGTGGGATTTTAGGGGCCATTATTAGAATCTGTGGTTATTTACCTAATTCTGCTTGAGAGGAGCTTTAAATCTTCTCTTGATATGAGCCAGTTCTCAGTGTCATTTATCATCATGCATGTGCTTCTGTGTTAAAATACTTGTCAGGTGTCTCCAAGCAGCTTTGCTCAGTCTGGAGGGAAGTGGGAAGCTTGTTGCAAGGAGACGTCGGGCCTGTTGCAGCAGGAGGATTTCCAGAAAGTGGCGGTGTGTCTTCAACCTCTGGGCTGTGCAGGGGAGAGTCCTGAAGAGGGAGGATGACAAGAGATTATAGCACAGAGAGTATAATATAATATTTAAAAAATTGATCGAATATCTAGATGTGACAATATAGAGTACACGTACACAGTACTTTCTGTCAGTTTAAATACTGCAAATGCTGTTTAAACTCTTGTTCCCCAGTTCTCAAAGTTTTTATACAGCATTTGCAGTATTTAACCTGACAGAAAGTACTGTGTACATGTACTCTATATTGTGACAATGAAACAGTAATTGCTCCTCTTGCTTCTGAGTCCCACAGACACAGGACTATTTTCATCTGTGCCTCCCAGATGAAACACATCATTAAGAGATTTACCTGCTGGCTGCACGTCGGCTGCTGAGGCAGCTGAGGCTGGCTCTGCACAGGAGGAGGGGGTGGTGTGGGGACAGGGCTCGGTGTGGGGGTGGGATTTTGGGAGGTGCCACATATTATTGATGGATTTTTGCTGAAGCCTCGCTCTTTCTTGAAATTGTTAACAGCCTGTTCGAGGAAGAAAGAGACAGTCCACTTAATCCTGTCGCAATATTTCTTTCCATCACATTCAATCAAAATGATCAAATCAACAGATAATCATTTACACAAATATTTAATTGTTGGAGTTTTCCTCTATTCCTATTTCATATTCATCTGTTAATTCACCTGTCGGAGAAATTTATTGGCGATCAGGGTATCAGGGGAGACATCTGATTGGCTACAAGTGGGGCAGACATGTTCCTCTGAATCCAGCAGGGTGGTGCGAATACCTGAGAGAGAAGGAGTTGAAATTATGACACCCCCGCTCCGTCACATCCCATCTTACTGTCATGGCCTTGAGCCGGTCATGATAAAATATGAACTGGATATATTTAAATCTATTTGTTAGACATACTGTATTTGTTTGGAGTCATTGTTAAAAAAACCTTTTTCTATGTGATGAAAAATAAGACACATTTTCTTTCATTTACTTCCTGATATGATTCATATATTTAAACATTCAGAATGTTCAAGTGCTAGAGCAGTAACCTATACACCAATCTTTCTTGTGTGTTTGTGTTTGTTTCTATGTGTGTGTAGCAGTTGCTCACAGTCGTCACAGTAGCTGTTTCCACAGCAGGGTATAACCACAGCATCACTCAACAGGTCATGACAGATCAGACAGAGGAGTTCATCAGGTACAGGATCCTCCACGACTTCTGACTTCGGTTTTTCCTCTGGAAAAAATGGAGGCTTCTCCTTCTTCCCAATGGCGTATGCCTCTCTACAGACAGACAGACAGAAACAATCCACACACACCATGAGCTCACATTTTCTTTTTATGTGTTTACAAGACGTTTTAAATCAGACAGACCTGAGCAGGATAAGATTATGTTTCTGATAAGCACAAACACTGGATGCTGGAATTGAACCTGTGACATTTCCTATGAATGTCAGCCTTGACAACTGTGCCAGTGAAAATTTTATCTTTCAGGCCATTAGATTGGTTCAATTATTATTTTATAACAATGCACACCAACACACACATACACACTTGTGCAGACTCACGCGTCTATGGCAGGAATGGCGTAACGTCCGCAGTTGGTCAGCATGGCTCCTTTTACGCTGGGATCATCCACCTCAACCATGAAGGACCGGGGGATGCCTGAGCTCTTCTTTATTCTCAGTGGGGCCTCGAAATTTTTATCTTGCTGTCAAGCATGCACACAACTACATTTAATGCCAGGGAATACAGACTCTAATAAAACCGATTAACATTTTTTTGAAATTGCAAAAGAACCTGGAGATACCGCGGGCTCTGCTCTTACCCCACTGGTGGGACAGTTCCTGATGTGGTGTCCAGTGTTTCCACAGCGATAACAAGTGTAGTTTGCAGGAAGAACTGTACCAAACTTCTTGCTGTAGCTAGAGAGGGAAAGAGAGAGAATGAGAGGAGGATAGATGAAGAGAGAAAATGCAGGGGGGTAAATGGAGAGTGGGATGTAGGTGGAACAGAGTGATGAGAGACAGTGACACATCAGAACATGGAGGAATTGAATTTAACAAACAGGTGGATCGAGACACAGAGGAGAGAGAAATGGGAGAGGGAGTAGATTTGAAAACAGAGAGACTCACTTCATGGAATCGTAGGCGGACTGATTTTGCAAAACTTTGATCTTATCCTCCTCTGACACATCTGCGTCAGCCAGGTTTGTCATCTGCATGCAAACACGTGAATGAATGAGGGCAGCAGACACAAGGACGGCAGGTCAAACAGGAGGTGTAGTGTTTAATCACAGGAGAGAGAGAGAGAGAAGGAATACCTTGGAGAAAAAGTGCAAGGTACTGGAGGAAGTCTGGGCGTCCATCTGTTAGAATTAAACAAAATCAGTTTCACTAATGAAGCCTTGAGGTTACACGACTTGGGCAAAGGCTGAGCTCTTTGCTCCTTTACATTATCAAAGAAATGTTCCATATCAAGAGCATTTGTAAACCTTCACCCCATACCTTTGGTGATTTGCATGAAAGCAAGCACTCAGTTGTGTATAAATAACTAATTCTCTGACACACTCCCTCCTCTGTGCAAAATATAGTAAATACAAAGAACCACAAACACAAAGCCTATACCAGCTAAATATAAAACGACCGACTAAACACTGGTCGCATGTTTGCATGGCCAACATTCTGCTCAAAGCACCGCTGTGTCCAATAAGCTCTGGTCTTGTTTCATTGTTTTTGCCAACAAATAACACTGAGCTGACTCTCAAAAATAATTCCAGTGCATACAAAGGCTGCGCTACTCATGTGAGTTATCCTAGGTTACATACATACATACAAAGAACATTAGGAAAATATGTCATATAAAATATAAAATATAAAAATCATATCTAAGCAAAAATAACTTACTGATTAATTCCTTCCAATGTATCAACTATAAAATATTTAACCTCAGCCAGTCGTGGAATAGAATTGTGCTATATTGTGGGTCAGCACATTGATTGAGTAAATTTATTCTTAACTAAATTAAGATCAGGACACATGTTGCTGTTTTGTCTATATATTGTATTTTTTATTATATCTCTGTTTAGATTGCATCCGCTGCAAAGGATAAATGTTGAACCAAGATTTTAACCATTGATGAGAAATGTAAAATGATGAGACAGGCCGATGTCTCACGAGTGTGTTATCTGAGGTGAGATATAGACTGTGGTTGTGTAAAGGTGACATTTTTGTCCAGTCAAGTCAAACACATAATCAATACAGAAGACAGATTCATACAAACGACTTTATTGGTGGAAAAAAATTAAAAATCACACACACACACAAAGGTTTGAGTTGTCCAACCCACTCAAAGTGCTAAGAAGAACGGCAGAGACTTCTCCTACTGAGAAACTAGAAAGAAAATAAGGTCAGGTCAGTAATAACACTAATTCAAACTGCAGCAAAGAACAGATTTGAGATGTGTTTGAGTTAGTTTACAGGCTCAGAGGCCTTGTTCATACCTGGTGTTTAAATGCATCTTGGGTAATCACAAGTGGATCGCTCGGAGTACGTCAGTTAACGCCTATGGCATTAGAATGCGCCTCCGTAATTTAACAAAAGATAAGTGAGCAGGTTGCAGCAGCTCATTGACGATGACAGTGAGTGGAGACCGTCAGCAGAGCCTCCATCATAAAACAACAGATGGGTTTATCAGCTGTGAAAAGCTGGCCCTGCACGATAAAGTCTGACCCACCCGAGCAGCTCCCACCCCCCCACACACAGATACTGAACGATCTTCAACGATGAACTCTTAACTGGGGACACAGCAGCTTGTTGAATTAACAGCTGAGAGCCGTAGTTACAGAGAATACATGTTGTTCCTTTTGCCTTTAAGCAGATTGCAGATAAATGCAGATACTACTTTTTAACTTTTCAGTTAGTGTCCCCATTAAATGTGACTTATAAGAGCAGCAGTTTGCTATATGTAGAAGAGTTTGCTGTATAGAATGTAGAGAATTTAAAAAGGTCTTTATTTTCATGTTTGGCAACAGCCAGATGCAGTTTCGACAGATACTCAAGCCCAGTTATTCTGCTGTATTAACCATGTATGTGCTGAGCTGTGCTGTGAATGTGTTAAGTGGGATTTAGTTTGGGTACGTACTGCTTTGACGACTTCATAGGCGTGTTGAAGCTGGGTGACTGAACGGTCGCTGAAATGCAAGAAGAAATCATTTTCAAACCACAGTCAGCAGTTTAAAGTAAAGTAAAAATACACAAAGTATAAAACCCAAACGTGAAGTCCATCTTTAGAGATTAACCAGTTCATTTCAATGTGAATGTATGTGGATGTGAAAGCCTTTTAAACAGCTCATTGTAAAGGCTTTCTTGAAAGCACATTGACTGTCAGGCTGCCTGTGCAGGTGCAGAGCTGGTTTGCAGCATTAAATCTTTCAGGCAGTGTTACACCCGTGTGCATGGTGCTGACGGGGCTAATTACATGACCACCAGCCTGTTTCAGCGAGGTCTTTTCCTTCTTCCAATGAATAAAACCCACATCATTGCTGGCTCTCCAGGCTAATCCAGAGTTATATCTGGGTAATCCTTGTGTACATCACTGTGGAGTCAATATTTTCCCCCCAAGCATAATTCATGTTTTATTCATAAGGGAAATGTTACACAAAACCCTGTTTAATCGACTGTTGTCTATTAACTGAAACAGGCCTCTGTGTGGATTCAGCGTGATGTGGAAAGTCTGGAAAAAAAAAAAATCCCCCACCTGCAAACACATGAAGCTGCTCAAAATACTCCCAGTAAACAAGGTGGACCCTTCCTAATTTATCCATAATTCTCTGGAGTTTGTTTTTCACATGTGAAAAACGCAGCAGGAGAATGTTTGGGCCATACACATTCACAACTACAGGAAAATGTTTGGGCCAGACAGATTCACAACTACAGGAAAATGTCCGCTGCAGTTTTTGTTGACGGCACAGCCCTGAACGAAATCTCTCAGTTCTCATCATCTCTCCAACTTCGTCTGCATCCTCTACGTATATGACATCTCTTTTTCATACTGAGATATTTGTACGTTTTTCAGTTTCGCATATTTTGTATGTTCGAAACGTCATCAACCTGCCCACTCACTCACTGTGAATTCTCCTCCTTCTCGTGTGCTCACTCAAGATGTTTTACTAAGGGGCTAGCAAGAAATGTTTGGAACAACTGACTTGGACATTTGGGTTCTCAAATGCAGGAACATTTCAGAATAATGTCTCGAGTTTAGCACATGACTGAAAGCAGCATCAGTGAATCATATATAATCATATCTATCTACAGTCTCTATAATTTATATATATAGCAACAATAATACTAGCGCAGTAATGTCAGCTACAGCAAGAGTCAAACCCCAGAGAACACTTACATGTTGTGGGTCTTGCTGCCTGAGCTGGACTTGCCTCCGCTGATGGGGATTCTCCGCACAATGACAGAGCAACCTTTGGGGATGAGACCCTCATCGTCGGTGTACTCTGGACGGGAGAGATTGTGAGAGTGAGGGTTGAGTGAGCTGACTTCATATTCATGTTTACAGTCTGGTTAATTATGTCAACACAGATTCACAATGAATCAGCAATTGTGAACCAACTATAATCACACCCTGCAGTGGTGCATGATGCAGCACTGACTCACATCTGATGAAACGAACCTGGAGACTGTGACTCCTTTAACCCTTCTACCACCTTCCTCTGCTGTAGGGCTGGGCAATAAAACAATATCAACAATTATCACAATATAATTGTAATCGATAGCAATATAGGAAAAAAATCCAGTGAATATAAATCTATATATTGTTAATGCATTGAGTAGGCACACTGAGGAGGTATCACACACATATTCTCACTCAATGTCATTCTCTGTCTATAAAGAAGAGTTTAAAAACACAACCTTCAATCAGGAGCAAAAACTTGTATTTAAAATAACAAACAAAAAAAAAGTTATCACAATAAATGTCAAGATTTATCAGGATTTATCAATTAATACTGATATGAAAATTAGATTTTTGGCCAAACAGCCCTACTGTTGTCTTGGTTGGTGTTTTGCCTTCTGAGACAGATGTGTGTGTCTGCAGACCCTTATTCGCAAGGAGTTGTGTGTGCATCTGTGTTAGTTCACACACTGTTGGTGTGTTATTGTTCACATTACTCAGAACTATGAGAGGTTGCAGATCTTATCTGCAGGATAATGACACACACTAAGATGATAGTTATCATGGGTGATTACCTCCAGCAAGCAGGTTATGTTTGGTTCTGTTTGCTTGTGTGTTATTTAGCAGCATTACAAAAAAACTTACTGGATGGATTACCATGAAATGAAACTTGTTGAAAGAACTCACTGAATTGTGGTGCACATCTAGGTCACATTTAGGAAACTGCTGCGGTTATAGATTTTTAAGATTTTACTGCTGACTTTTATGGCCCTTTCCGGACTTTCATTTGCAGAATTTCAGACACTGTATTTGCCTTGTCGTGGGCTGAGCTCCTCTGCTTACAGTCCAACTCACCATTCCACTGTTCCACAGCTGAGGACAAAGGGTGACTGGGCATTTTCTGTCAGGGCTCCCACTCTTTATCCTCTTTTGAATCTCTCTTAAAGAAACATTTTAACAGCTGTGCCTTCCCTCTTTCTGACCGTGCCGACTATTTCACTCCTTTTATGATGTTTAACGCTGCCTTGAGTCACCTCTTTACTCATCTGTAACATTTCGATTTGTGCTCTAATGCTGCATGGTCTTCAAATTGCTTTTTAAAACTGTTTCCTGTTGTCTGCCTTGAATGATTCGTTTTAAACCTGTGAAACACCTTGTGACTGTGTTTTGAAAGGTGCAACATGCACAACGTTTATTATTATGACCAGTGAATTTAGTTGCTGGAGGAATGAGCTCGACTCTACTGACTCCATTTAACATATCTGATCTACATTTGAGTTTGTTTTACCTACACGACAGAGGAGGATGGTTTCCTGTGTCGATTAGTGTGTGTGTTTGAACTGCTCATGACTTAACATTTTCTATTTTTACCTCCGAGGACTTTTACATGCCTGACTTACATGCCTGGCACACACACGCACACACACACACACACACACACACTACAGAGTAAACGCAGCAGGAATGTGTCCCCATTCATTTGGAGCTTTTGTCCTGGTTGGACTCGTCTGGATCTCTTCAAACTGAATGAGGTGACGCAGTAACAACCCCCCCCCCGGACAGCTGTCAAATCTGGACCACGTGTTTCTCTGTCTTCCAAAGTTCAACCTGCCACGGACACACAAACACACAAACACACACGTCGTGTACACGTCGTGTTACCTTGCTTGCTCTGAGCGTTGGTGATCTGCAGGTCGCAGTCCCCGGACCTCAGCCTCTCCCGGCACATGATCTGCTTCTTCAGGTCCCTGAGCGTGATGTGCGGCCCGTCGAACACCGCCGTGTCGTAGCTGAGTTTGGAGGAGAACTTGTAATGAACATGAGTCATGGTGACACTGAGGAGAAAAAAGAATAAATAAACCACCTCTCCTCTCAAGTGCCAGAGAAACCAACAGCTGACAGTTTCCCTGCACTCGCTACGTTAAGTTAAAGTTAGCTAGCTGCTGTTAGCTGCTGTTAGCTGCGTCCCGGCGGCGGCGGCGGCGGCGTCACCGCTGCTATCGAGCTAATTTGCCGTTAATTAACAAGTGTTAACGGGGATGACAGCTCCCGGTGTTCGGCGGAGCAGCAGCGCGGACTCGAGTGGAAGCTTTTGTCAGTGGCTAGGCGTCAGCTCCAGGCGGAACTTGAGTTTGATTTCCCCCGCTAACGCCGCTCGCAGCCCGGAGAGAAGTGACAGAAACCACCAGCTGTTTCCACCGGGGACGGCTCGTCAGCACTGTGCGCACCGGCTCGTGCTGCGTTCACGTCAACCCGCGCACCCCAGCTTTCACTGACTCCGTGTCCAATGATAATGATGATAATAACAACGATTATTGCAATAATAATAATAATAATTACAACAAACACAAATTTTACACAATGTGGAAACTAACATGTTTAAACCAAGCACACTGAAACTAGTGCAATTGAAGGTGTCAAAAGTACGAAGTTTCGCCTGACACGTGAAGGCAACATGTGGTGTCAGCGCTCAGGGCCGTGCACCTGTTTGTGTTCAGGGTCCCACAGACCGGATGGGGGGGGGGGTCTGAGAAAACCAAATTTTACACCTGCTCCACATTAAACAATCACTTTCACCAGCTCTGTTGGAGATATATTCTCTTAATGCCGTTAATTAACAAGTGTTAACGGGGATGACAACTCTAATATTCTCTTATCGTTGTTGATCATTTTTACTTGGTTGAGTTTCTGCAAATCGGCTTTCGACCATCGACCGTGGAAGAATCGCATGGTTTTTTAAATCATGATATTCATGAAGCTACAAACTCCATTGAATTTTCATCTGGCCCGGAACTTAATGTAATTGCTGACCTCAGGTCTGTTAGTGCACCACCTAAATTATCCACTAGAGGGAGACAAAGCACCACGCATGATGTTATTGGTGGTGTTGAATTGCTCTGCAGGGTGCAGTCAGTCTTAGAGATTTGTATTGTGACACACTTGGGGTCATTGCTAAAGTTTAGTTATTCGTTAGTTCAATAACAGTTTATTTTGGTTTGGACGATATGAAACATAATCTATTGATATTAGTGACTAGACCACACTACTGGCAAATATGAAAGGAACAATCAAAGGAATTATTTGACATGGAGGAGTGAGGGTGGTATCGATATTTTTCTTAGCAAGAAAGTGAAAAAGCTGATTTCTCATTTGGTCAAACTGTTCATTATTTAACACGTTATTTGAGTTGAATGCCCGTGTGTCTCTTCACCCACAGCAACGGCAATGATGTAAAATGTAAATCACGAAGAGAAGGAGACAAGAAGTGAGGAAACCGAGCGAGCAAGGAGCTTAGGAAGCAGAGATCTTCTCTGACATCATCGCCACAGGTTGGTGGTGATGATGTCATCGCACGCACATGGATATCACAGCGAAGCTTGTGGTTTACAGAGGAAAGCAAGCTGATTGGTTGGATTCAGATAAATGGAGGGACAGAACAGAGAGATGAGAGAGGAGTGTTTGAGGATGTGTTTTGCGCTCGCTCTTCTCTCTTCATCAGCCTCTCGCTCTGTTTCTTCCTCTCCTGCCTGCTCCACTCAGAGGAGGGATTTGCCCTATCTTCCCTGGCTTAGCTCACCATTGTGAAAGCAGTGGGAGGATGGAGGGATGCAGAAGGAGGGAGAGGGAGAGAGGATGAAAGGCAAACAGCTGCTGCCTTTAAACTGATGTTCTTCTTATCGTGATATGATACAGGACATGTTTGGTGACTCATCCATCAAAGAGCTGCTGGGAAACAATTATATTCTCGCATCCTGGCGTATGATGCGTTCAAGCGGGAGGATGTTGTAGTGTTTGTGTGTTTGACTGTTGAGGCTCATCTCTGCCAGTGAGAGGAAATCATAGATGAGTTTCCTCCGGCTACTCCAGCTTCCTCCCACAGTCCAAAGACATGCAGCTTAGGTTAATTGGTGGCTCTGAATTGCTGGTGCGAATGTGAACATGAATGGTTGTGATAGACTGTCGACCTGTCCGCAGTGTAGCCCCCCCCCCCTCCCAGTGTCAGCTGGGATTGGACTGGCGCCTGCCATGATGCCTCAAAGGATAAAATTGATGGATAAATGAGTATTTTTATTTCTAGCTTTCCCAATTTTTCAGCGTTTGTCTTTTCCAGACACAAATGGTCCTTTAACAGCTGCATACAAGATCTCACAACATGTACAATAATGAATCTACTCCGTAAACAATTTGTTTGTATTACAAGAGCAGATTCCCTCGAAAACAGAACTTTTCTTTTTATTACTCCCTGACTAACTACTGAGCTGACTTATTAGCAAAGGGACTATAGTAAACAGATAAATCAACGAGTAACTGATTAATGTGACTTCCTCTACAGCAGCTATCTGATTATTAATTTGAAACAGTTTGGACCCTGGCTTCACTTTTAGGAAGCTGTCGTCTCGTCCATCTTTATTTACCTCTATAGTTCTGTGGATGTTTTTTAACAGGAGCTTCTTTAGTGTCTCTGTTCATTGGAAGGAAAAATTCCCACCTACCGTCAGCATTGAGTTTAGTAAAGAAACTGGTTTGGTTTTGGTTTTTAATGTTTCACAATTGTCCATCATGGAATAATTGCACCTTTAATAAAGTCTGTATTGACTGAGGTTGAATTCAACCTTTTCTAAAAACATATTCAATTTCCAGTGAAATAAAACCAAGAGAAGAAACAGATCCTCACATACGACCGGATTCAAACTGTGGATATTTGGTAGTTTTACACTATAAATTGGTTGTTCAGTTTTCAGTTGATTAATTTTGTAATTGTTTCAGCGCCACGTTTGCTCATCTGCGTTTTCATTATCTTCTCGGCAGCACTAGCTCGTGATGTTGATGTCAGTGTGGGTGGAAGAAGAAAACTGAGAGAAAACAAACTGTTAAGACCAAACTGATCAATGGATGACTGACTCTTTAATTCTTCATCCCTCCTTCTCTCATCCTCTGTCACCTTTGACTTTTCTTTCTTTATTCTGACATCACTCTCTCTCTCTCCTGATCATTCCTCTTAATCTTCATTCCTCAACCCTTCTTCTTCTCCTTTCTCTTCTCCTTGCCCGTCCTCCACCTTTCACTCTCTCCCTCTTGTCTCTCTGCTTGAGCAGCATTCACAGCTCTGAGGCTTTTTTTTCACACTGCAGATGGCCACAGTGTTACTCCACTCAAGGGACACACACACACACACACACACACACACACACACACACACACACACACACACACACAGACACACAGCGACAATGGTTCAGAGGGCTCTTCACTCATTCTGCTCCTCTCAGAGCTCAAGTGTCTCTTGTCCTCAAAAGTCCGCCACTGATCTGATGCTGCTCTGTGTATTTCCAGGTCTTTGAATCCCTAACATGGGACGGACATGTGATTGAAGACGTGTGAGGAGTGTTTTGAATTTATAGCCACTGACCTGCAGAGTGTGAAATGAGCCCAGGAAGAACTGCCGCCTGTGTGAAGCTTATTATATCAAGTTTGTGTTCATAGTGTGTCAGAGCATAGAATTAAAAAGATGTTGAAATTTAATCCTGAATAAATTATTAACAAAGTGCAATGATCATCACTATTCAGGAGAGAACATCTTCTTCCTGCTTTATTTTTAGAGCCCATGGAGGTAAGACATTTCTGTCTGGTACAAAATAATCTGATGGTGGATTCCTGCTGGGAAATGCTCTGCGTCTTTTATGGGCTATTAGCATAAGGGACAATTTTCTCTTATTGGGCCAATGGAGCTGAAGAAAGCAATTACTACAGTAGCATACTGCTCGACAGGAGGGTGGGGTCTCGAAACAGAAAATCGTGGCAGAGGGGAAAATGGCTAAGAGGATCATGGAGAAGAAAAAAACTGAACAGGAAATGGTGAAAAAGGAAATAAAAAGATGGGTGATAGTCAAAATATCTGTGTGCAGCAGAGGAGATGAGCAGCAGGAGAGGTTGAGTGACAAAATGGCACATTTAGATGCAGGAATAAAATCAGAGTGGCAGCCAATCCCACTGTGGAGCGGAGACTCTCCCATAATCCCGTCATCCACTCTAATCTCTATGACGACAGCATGGAGCTCCATCAGTGATGTCAGAGTTATGAATATTCATCAGGTAATTCTGAGCACTGAATAATTCCCTCTCTTATTAGAGTGTCTCAATGCCCCGCCGTTCAACCATAATCTGACAATATATCGCATAGGATCTAAGATGAGTGTTATATAAACACATCTGAGAATGTTCGACCCATTCTCCTGATTGTTTATGATGCTCAGAGGGTGTGATGGCCCTCAGACCTGGAACTCAGTGGCCTCAGATGGATGAATTAATCAAATTGACGTCAAATAAAGATGTGGATCCTGGAATGATTATTAATGAACAGTACATTGAAACGAAGTGAGTCTTTAACCCCAGAGTATAGAAACAAACCAGTCATGTCATATGATGAGATAGAAGTGTCAATTATTATTATTGAAGGTATGAAAAGTGATAACCATAAAACTATTTAATATTTTTTATATAAATAAATGAAATGTTCTTTTTGCGATACATGTGCTAAATATACCTCCTCTTTCTCATCGTCATTCAGACGTGTGGTGGCCGTGGAGATAAGCAGAGATGTTATCTGTCAGACGGCTAATTCAGAATGGTTGACACAGCACAGGCGATACGGTGTGTGTGTGTGTGTGTGTGTGTGTGTGTGTGTGTGTGTGTGTGTGTGTGTGCAGGTTCAGGAGCATGTCTATTGGTTGTGTAAGTTTTCTCAGTATTGTCCAGGTTTATGTTGCTGTTCTGATTCAGATTAGATAGTGTTAATTTGCTGGACCACCAAAGTCTGTTATCTGTGTGTGTGTGTGTGTGTGTGACAGAGAGAGAGAGATATAGACATTAGAGCAAATCACACATTCTTCACGCACTGACATTCAAGTACAAAATGAACCGACCACAGGCAGTTTGAAAAGGTGACTCTTTATTTTCTAATAGTTATACTGTATATAATATTCTTTCTCTCTAGATATAGGTAATCATATTTATATCATGTAAGTAAAAGTGTGCTTTTATTCACAGCCTGTGTCTGTGTCAGACCGCTGTAAGTTGGAGGTTTACATTATAAAGTATACAGTGAAACTGGCTGGCAGCTATGTGTGTGTGTGTGTGTGTGTGTGTGTATGTGTGTGTTTTACAGTCAGTGTGCCTGTGTATAGAAAGTCCAATGTGAGTGCCAGCATGTTTCTGCATGCATGTG